TCCCTCCCTTTCTTCCTCCCTCCCTCCCGCCCTCCTTCCCTCCTTCCCTCCTTCCCTCCTTCCTTCCTTGTTCCCACTCACGGGTGAGAACATGCAGAATTTCTCTTTCTGTGCCTGGCTTATTTCACTTAATGTAATTTTCTCCAAGCCCATGAAATCCTTAATAATTTTATCTTTGAACCTGGGTTTTGTGAGTGAAGTCTGATGGAGCAAGGAAGCATGTGTAGGAAAAGGGAAGATACGTATCATATATGTGCCCCTTTTCCTTTCTGCCCCATGAGCTCGGAATTCCCGCAGCCCCAGGATGAGAGGGTCCAGGCAGACTCAAAGCAAACACAGGGAAGGAGTGTCGTGTCTAGATGGGTTAGGCAGGAACAGGGCGGCCCCGAGAGGCTTTGCACTTGAGCCAGACCTGGTTTTGAATGCAGAAAGAAGGCAACAGGATTCAAGGAGACATGAACGACTCAGGAAGCCCACCGTATCCTTTCTTGCTCCTCTTACTGCCCTATACTGCGCAGCCACTTACACCGGAAAAGATAACACAGAAGAAAAGAGAAAGATAGAGCAGCACTGAGTTCCTTTTCCTTTCGGTCCTCCCTGTCTCATCAATAAACTGAAGGCAGAGAGTGCTGGAAGACATGCAAATATCAAAAAGAGAAATACAAAAGTCAAGTCTCCACAGTTCTGAAAGAACAAAATACATATGCGTGTACAGCCACGAAACACAAGCTGTGCAAGTCTGCTGATTCCGCATATGCACTCAGATCTTTACTTCAAAGTGGCATTGCACATTATAAAGATCAACGGTAAAATTCACACTAACAATTTAAATTTTAAGTTCTTCTTTACTCTGAATGGCTAACATAGCAAATAAAAAAAAAACAGTGACAACTGGAAAGAGAGAGAGACTCTGCAGAAAGAATAAAGTTTTGTTTTTAGCACGTGTTTTAACAGCACCTTAGCACTTTTTTCCTACTTTCTGAACGAGGGGTCTGCATTTTCACTTTGCGCTGGCCCCGCAGTTAGGTGACGGGCCCTGCTCTGCTTCCTGGTGCCACGTCCCTCCCCTGCCGCTGCTCTGCCAGGATGCCCCTTGCTCGCTGCCACCCTTTTCTCCACTCACCCACCCGAAAAATACTGACTGCGCTGTGCTCGGGCACTGTGCCAGGTCCTGAGGATATAAAAGGAATAAGATATTATTCCTGTGCTCAAGTGTCATCGGAGAGATGGACAAATAACCATAAAAAGGCAGTAAAACCTGCCTTGCGTGACTCTAGTGCGGGCTATAAGTAATACATGCAAAGTGTCAGACCACGTCCAGCAACGACTGCTAACCTCAGCGCTCTACTCAATTATCTCACTTGATTCCTAGCACAACATACTGCACAAGTCCTATTATTGTTTCCATCTTACATATACAGAAGCAGAGATTTAAAACAGTTAAGAAATTGGACCACACCGATTTTGTCATTTAGTGGTGGAACCAGGAACTGAGGCCAACCAAGCGTTTTTGATTACTAAATCTGATTTGAAAGTGATACCTATCATTCTTATTAATATAATCCTCACCATTACCTTCTTTATTTTCCATTGTTGCAGTTAAGTGTCTCCATTTCTAGCTCCTCAAAGGTCAGTTTTAGTAGTAATTGTATTTTATCAATCTCCTTATAACATATCATTTGCTACTAAATAAAGGTGTATTCTAATTTTTTTCTGATTTATTTATTAGTATTTTGTTTAGGACATAAAATATAGTGGCTGCTGCTGCTTTGTTTTTAATCTGATAATCCTTTGAGATAATGCTTTGACCTAACTGTAGAAAATTCGATTCAGCTGACAAAATTTTTGACTTTCAAAATTACGTTCACAACTCTTTTCACTAAAACGAAGTGCATTGGTTAAAAAACATGCATTTTGGAAGCAGACAGACTTGGGTCCAAATCCTGGCTCTCCTGTCCATTAGTGTCAGAGAAGTATTTAACTCTAAAATCCGAAATTTTCCTACAGGTAAAATGGGGATGAAAACAGTACCTTAACTATCTCATAGGGCCGTGTTTAAGATTAAATGAGATAATTCTTATGAAATACTTAAAATAGTGCCTGGTACCAAATAAGCACTACAAAAGAATGTTAGTTTTAGTACCATTATTTTTAGTATGATATTCTTATAAATAGGTTTAAGAATGGATTTGGAATGATTTTTCCCTTGAAATGGTTTCCCCCAATACAAAAACCTAAGTTCAAAGGTCTCTAATTTCCAAGATGTACATGATTTCTTTAAAAGTAAAAGCACACAGAAAGTCCTCCGGAACGGCATCCGGTGGCCGTACACGTCTCTCCAACTCAAGGGATCCGAGCTGTTTTTGTTGAAATAATCCTTCGCCGAGAACTCAACATACCGCCCTCATTTCCACTGCTTTTTATTCTAAACTGCCTATTCTAGGGTTGAGGATGAAGCGTTTATAAACTGTATGTAAAGAACTCAATAAATGTAAGGAATCGTTCCCGTCACTTTCGGCTAAGCTGCCTCAGTTCCCTCTAACCCCTGAAGTGACACACACATTTAAGAACACTGAGCAAATTAGAATGGCCGAACTGTTTTCTCTGGCGGAGAAGGAGAGGATTAGCTAATGTGAAGTTTACTGCCGTCACTTAGGCCATCAAATGACTGTTTCCCTGGCTTCTGAGTGATTGAAGAGCACATAAAAAACAGACTGGATACTACATAAAAATGGACTATATACCTATTTTTAAAATAGCTCCAGAAAAAAGGCCTCCATTTGACATTTGTATTATGGTTTAAAGAAAAAAAAAAAGAAAAAGCATTTTTGTAAAAAACCAAGCCTTCATGTGATACCTTAGAAAACAGGATAGCCGTGTGATATCTTCCCAAACCCAGATCTTTTCAACCACGCTGTCTATTCCCACTGCAGGCTCGCGGGTCCTTACCAATTCTTGCGTGTCCTCCTGCAGCGGAGAAAAAGCATTTTTGTAAAAAACCAAGCCTTCATGTGATACCTTAGAAAACAGGATAGCCGTGTGATATCTTCCCAAACCCAGATCTTTTCAACCATGCTGTCTATTCCCACTGCAGGCTCGCGGGTCCTTACCAATTCTTGCGTGTCCTCCTGCAGCGGCAGAAATGCCGCTTCCAGAATGGCCATCTGGTCAGTGCTAAGCTTCTGCCACAGCCCGATCAGCAGAACCACCAAATGGGTGGCACTTTTCAGCCTGGTGAACGACTGGAACAGATTGTCTCGGTTTTCCTCTACTGCATCTGCTAGAGCGATTACCTGCAGAAATGACAAACTTCGGTTAGGGATAATTTCACAATTCCTGAGCCTTCAACAAATTACCTTTGGCACACTTTTGTTTTTCTTTAAAACAACGTGATGAACTCTGTCTTCCATAAACACAAGCTATGTTGAGTCATACAAGAGTTATCATTCATCGGCTCACTTCCTTCTGTTTAAAAAAATGCCAAAGTAATTCCAAATCCATATGGCCAGGAGATGAAAATATCCACAAAATGAGCTTAATGGGGACATTGTTTAGTGTTTGCTTCACCATCGACCGGCCTTCTCCAATGCACAGTAATATAAAGTAACCTCTAATAAAGCTATTATGGTCTTCATTACTAGCCACAGAGATTGATCAAATAAAACATTCTTATCAAAATAATTCCATTTGCCTTGAGGTTCAAAATAATAACTTCGTTACACCTTCTTTTAGAAAATAACTGTCTTCCTCTGGTATTAGTCTTTATATGTTATGCGGTGTTAGGATAAGCCAATAATTTTTTATTACACCTAAAAGGTAGATAGTGTTAAGACATTCAACCAGTTAAGTAATGTCATTTTCGTCACAAATGTCAGGCACCAGCCACAGGGACCTGAAAGAAAAAAAAACTTCAGGGTGTGTTAGCTTTACAACGCCAAATCTATTTAGGATAAAATCGGCAGGAGTAAGTAGAATTGGCTTTTTTCCATCCTTTTGAATAACACTGGAAAAAAAGAACTAAAGCAACAATTGGATGGAACATCCAAGACTGCTCATTGGTGTTTTATTTTACTTTAATGTCTTGGTGAATTTTGTGCTCATTAAAAGTAATGAACTGACTGCCCCAGAGGCTCAAGGCGTCTGACAGTCCTCAGAACAGGAATAGCAAAAGCCAAGGCACCGTGAGCTCCTTTCTACAAGCCCCTGCCAGTCCAAGGGACCAGAGCTCAGATGAGAGTCAGAAGTCTGGTGCACATGATCCGTTTGGTGATATTTCATGGGTTATTGACACTGGCCCAACGGGACGGTTAAAACATCATCATTCAAGTAAGAAGATTTTACAGCTGTGTGGTCTCCCAAATTCCACGTGGGGAGAGGGGCTGTAGGGGGACAGTCCTTAGAGTGTCTGGGAGACACTGGAAAATAGATGTAAGTTAGGAAAAGACAGAGCAACGGAAGGTCCTTGCCCGAAAATGCCAGCAAACCAGGATTCTTTGCCTCGTGGCCGAGGGCTTGCAGGAGTTACAAAAGGCAACTGCAACTTGCGTTCAGCCCTTCAGGGGCCACAGGAGTCTGAACCCAGGCCAGCACTACATAAAGTGCCTTCCTTACTATGCACCTGCCACTGTGTTCCCTTCCATTTGCATTCAAAAGACGTACCGAAGATAGCCCAGGAGGAGAGAAAGCACATGCACACAACCAATTAAGGGGGAGAAACATTACTGTAATGACGTCCTAATTGTGCAGAACAGAACGTACTTGTGAAAGAAGTTAGTAAAGCGATGGATTACTGTGGGCCACAGTTAATATCCCTGGGGCCTCTTTCACTCAAATGGCGCTTGGAACTCATCCCTCCCCCATTACTTCAAGAAGTCCCCTCGAAGAGACAGAGAGAGTCACTCTCCTTAAACCAAAACACCTGGAATCATATGCTTCCTCTGCCCTCGCCACAGTGACAACTGACTCCTGTTAAAATCTAAGTTTATACTCTTTTTCTTCCTGTGAATGTTACCAATTAAGCCTCATGGTGGGGCCATCACATGACACAGATGCTTATTGTCAGAAAATCTAACTCGTACAAAGATGAAGGTCATAAACACGGACTGAGTGCCACGCGTGTGCCCGCACTGCAGGGAATTCAATGGTGACAGATGTAATCTCCACCTTCAAAGAGCTCATAATAGAGAAAGGAAAATAGGTCAAGGAGGCAAATGTGACCATGTAAGACGCTATAGAGTACAAAAGAGAAGGCCTTTATAATCCTTTATGATTCATTATGATTACCGTGTTAGTTAGTAACAATCACTCCAATTAACTGAACACAGACCACGTGGCAAGCCTTCTGCTCTGTGCCACCCAGAGCTCCGTGCCTTCAGTCCTCACACGTCCGCTGCCTAGTTGGCACTCTCTCTCCCTCTCGCACAGATGAGGACTCTGAGTCCCAGCGGACATAAGGCATTTTCCCAGCACTCTGCACAGGGCAAGCTTAGAAGGGCCCCGTGCTCGGTTTAATACCCTGTCTCTGTCTTGAAGTTCTTGCTGATTTTATGTGTGAACTTGGGTTTTGTAGGTGAAGGTAAAGCACGCACATGAGCGGAGGATGCATGTACATCCACCTACATGAGTTAAGTGCTCCTATGCTTGCATTTAAAATTGGCATTGAAAATATAAATATTAATGGTAAAATTCATGGTAATAATTTAAATTTTTTACTTTTTCCTTAATTGGAAAGATATTAAATAGAAAATAAAAAACATCATCAGAAATTGTGAAAGAGAGACCACTGAAGAAAGGAAAACACTTTACATTTTAGGAGCTGTTTTTCTTTTTTTCTTTTTTCTTTTTTTTGTCTTTTTTTGTCTTTTTCCGTGTCCGGCAACGGATCGCAACCCTCAGTGTTGCCCCCGTACCGGACCGGGGACCGGCAACGGGATCACAACCCTTGGTGTTGCTCCCGCGCCTCGCTCAGCCAGTGAGCGGGAACCGGTCTGTATGTGGGATCCGAACCCTCGCGCCGCCGCGCTTCCCAAGCGGCGCACTATCCAGTGCGCCACCGGGCCGGCCCCTTAGGAGCTGTTTTTAACAGCCCTTTCTTCTGCCTTTTTAACAAAGGCCCCTCATTTTCATTGTGCGCTGGATTCACAAATCAAGTAGCCAGCCTGACCATACACCTAGAAAACGCAAGAACAGGATTCAAACTCTGGAGCCTGTTTCCCTCCGAAGCCTGCTGGAGGCCTTCGGCACTCCGCACCTTTGGAGGGGAACACACCACCGCCAGCCGAGCGTGCAGGGAGAAGCGGCGGCGCTGCAGTTGGCTTCGTCAGCTCCTACCAGCTCTGCAGACAGACCTGATCGTTCGATTTTCAAGAATTTTACAAGCCAGTTGTTAAACACAGCCATTACTAAAAATTAAATTACATAAACTTAGAACTAAATAAATTACATTAAAAACAAGGCAATAAATACTCAAACCCGTTACTTCATACTATTACCTAGGCCCTTTGCTGACTTCTTTCGCACTTCTTTATGCCTGTTGTATCTGTACACTGGAAACACTGCAATGGTACTGCCCATTTCTTGCCAACACTGCATTCAGAATGGGTAGCTCGAAATTGCCCATGGTGGAAGTATTTGCTACATGGGAATCAACAAATGCTACAAACTCGGGCTTCCTGACTCCACAGAGAGTCTACTTTTAAGCATTCACCAGCATGCCACTGAGGAGAGGTACCTGAAATGGGTCCTACACAGCTGACATTGTGTAAGAGAGCTTTCAAAGTGAAGGAAACAACTTGAGCAAAGCATGAAAGCAGAAAGGTAGAGGCTGCTTATTCATGTAAAAACAAACATTCTGCTTTGGGAACAGTTCCTGATGAAACTAAAATGGTAAGCTGGGCGACTGTCAGAGAGAAATCAGAATGTCAGGGTGAAGAGCACGTACTTAAGTCTGCCGGCACTGGGGAGCCACTGAGTATTCTAGAGTGTGGGTGTTACTTGATGGAGGCTGTAGTCTAAGCAGCCATCGGATCATAATAAATATTTGGGGCATTTGCTGGGACTCAGTGAAGCTTTTATTCACGTTCCTCACTCTCAAGGGAAAATTCTCACTAAGTGTAACCGCATGTCAGTTCATGGACCCACCCAACTTGCTAAACACAGCTGTGGTGGAACAATGACTTCGTGAAACAGCAGCCCAAGCCACAGGATCTTTCCTGAGCAAGGCCCCTGGATGAATCAATCCAGGAGAAGCACTGTCTCTCTATATTTCAGTCGTATTGAATACATTTCTGTGCCATTGTGGAAAGAGTCTGCTATCCCCAAATGGTCACAGAAATTGGAAAGAAATGGGATAAACTATTTATGTAAATTATCCCCAAGGAAAATCTTCCTGACCTACTGGCCAGCATGAAATACTAAACAGATCTCCATGTTCTCAATTTAGTTTTACATGTAACAGCCAAGTTTACTTTGTTCTCCATGCAAGCCAAATGAATTTAGCAGAATGAACATAGTGAAACAGGGCTGGAAAAACTAGACCCATCAAGATGCAGCTCTGTGCGCACAAGGCCTAGAAGAGCTCACGGCTCACCTGGCACTGAGAAATGAGGCCAAGCAGCTGCTAGAACTGAACCTGGAGGGAGAGCGATTTTTCAGGGCTCATCGCTGGCTGAGCAAGACGTGTGTTCTCTGGCGTTCAACGGAACTTCAGAAAGGGAGGGGTTGGGGAAACAATAAATGCTAACGACTTCAAGCACAATGTGTTGATGGTCTTTGTTTTGCTTTTTCAAATTGAAGGTTTCCAAATAAAATGGAGACCCCAAAGGACATCTCTGTCCAACTGCCATATCAGTTGATGCCAAAGTAATGAGGCAGAGGCCCAGGGAGCTGCCTTTAGGAAAACGCTCAACTCATAAAGTGAGTGTGAAATTAATCCCAAATACTTCCAGCTGCCAGGATAGGCTCTAAAATTGGTTACAGGAAAGCAGCAGCAGCAGAGTAGACATGAATCATACTATGTGAACATGAACATGTCCAATTTCTTACCGTTGAATCGGCCCCCAGATCTCATGTGTGGCACATGGAACCTCACTGCCTTGCTGTTGATCTGTCATTTACTGAGGCCTGACTGTGGGCCAGGCACTGCGTTCAGGACTGTTACACCCAGATTAGTATTTGGTCCTCATGGCAACTGTCCGAGGTAGGAATGGTTGATCCCTTCCATCCCCTTCCTGGTGAGACAGGAGGTGCTCAGTTTCCCCAGGCTTGGCTTACAGGACTCGCCTCTGGGATTCAAGCCATTCCGCAGGGTCTCAGGCCCCTCCGCTAGGCCCTCCCCTAGAGGAAAGTTACTGTTGCAAACTGAACCTATTTTCGGACCAGTGTGAGACCTCAGGGGGCTGAGGATACAAAGCCAGTGGCTAGGCAAGCTCGGGTAAATGTAATTCATATTCATTAGATAGTATGAATATGCATTAGAGAGCAGACTGTAAGAGGTGAATCCCGGCGGAAGGCGGGGCTGCTGCTCACTTTCCCGGGGCAACCCACACGTGGCTGGCTGGCTGGGGTACGTATCTTCCTTCTGCATCAGACTTGCTCCTGTCTCTAGGGCCGGCCTGCACCCTGTACTAACCTTTCAGTGGGTAGTGCTTACTTGTATGTTGGACCTGGTGCGGGCCCTGCTCAGTCTCTGGAGCTAGGCCACACTCTCTCTGTGAAACCTGTATCTCTTCTTCATTACATTAAACCCATCCTCACTCTCAGTGACTCTGCCCTTGAATTCTTTCCTGGGATGTAGTCAAAAACCTTGTAAGAGGACAGGGTGGTAAGGCCAACTACCGGGCCTTCCCAGACCCCTTCTCCCCTGGCATCGCTGGAACCTTAGGGACATCTGAGCACACTGCCCGGCTCATGAAAGACGGCAGAGGAAGGCCAGGATTCCAACCGTGTCTTCTGATTTCCCAGTGGGTCCTTTCTTCTACACTGATACACAAATATATACAGGTGCCCCATGAAATAATCCTGTGGATTTTTCTCTTGATAATCAAACAAAGATACTAAGAACAAACACTATGAATATATTATATCCATGACAGGCATGTGTGCTTTAGTTAAGTTTTCCCATTGCCGGGGCTTCTAACATGAGGTCAACTGGAGTTGGCTGGTTTCTGCCCAGACTTGGTTGACACTGCCCAAAGTTACAGTAAAAAGGAAATTAGTTCATAATTTGTAAGGATGGGAAGTTAACATACTCAGTTTTTTTTCTCTTAACAAAGGGAATTTTATTATGTTCCATGTAGCTCAATAATATGAAGACTTTAGAAAACAGCTATTTTCTAGGCCTGCTCCTTTAAGTGAAGCTACTTTTTTTAAAGGGATGATTTCTTCATTTTCTATAAATCTCACATTACAATGTTTTCAGTGATCTAAGCAAGTTGATGTTCTGTAATAATGACTGGCAACATTTACTGAGGGCCTTCCAGGAGCCAAGTACTGTGCTAACCACTTTACAGGGATTATCTCACTTAATTCTCAAAACAACTTTACGAGGTAAATACTCTTATTGCCCCCGTTTTAAAATCAAGGAAAGAGAATTACAGAAGGGGTCAAATAGGAAGCGGCAGAGCCAGAATTCACACTCAAGCATCTGCTCCAAGAAACGTCACCATGAAGCACCGTCTGCATGCATTTTCTGCCCGCACACCAGCCTCATCATGAGCAATATGTGGAGCACGTTCTATCTGGAGCTTTGCTGAATTTCCAGTACCATACACAAATTAAGACAGGTTTATTTTAATAAAAGGTCAGCATGAACGAACGAGTTAGGAAAAATGGAGTTCCTGTGATATGGGTGAGTTTCTATATCCCCTGGGGGAGAATGTGACAGTCTGGGCTGGAACAGGCCGCGGCCTGGGAGCCAGGAGATAGGGCTTCTATTCCTGGCTTTGCTACCAAGCAGCTTTATGTCCGTGTTCAATTTACTTCCCTTTTCTGGGTTCAGTTTCATCACCTTTAAAATGTGGGAAACACAATCTCTAACATTCAACAGAGCTAGAAATGTCTGATTCAAAAACTTTAAAATTATTTTTGGATAATCTGTTGTTTCAAACTATCCACGCCACCTCTTCCCCTCTATTTGCACACTACTATGCTTCTTGTTTAATGTTTGTTGACTTGGAGGTTTTTTTTTTTTGTCTTTTTTCATGTCCTGCAACGGATCGCAACCCTCAGTGTCGCGCCCGTACCGGACCGGGACCGGCACGGGATCGCAACCCTCGGTGTTGCTCCCGCACCTCGCTCAGCCAGTGAGCGGGAACCAGTCTGTATGTGGGATCTGAACCATCGGCGGGAGCGCCGCTGCGCTCCCAAGCGGCGCACTGTAGCAGCGACCCTCGGCGGGAGCGCCGCCGCGCTTCCCAGGCGGCGCACTGTAGCAGTGCACCACCGGGCCGGCCCTTGACTTGGAGTTTTTATCTATAAAATAATGGTAAGGATACTTTTGTTTGGCTAATTCATAGGATTATGAGAATTAAATCAGAGGGGTGAAAAAATGGACAATAAAAAGTGTTGACAAGGATGTGAAGAAAGTGGAACCCTCACACACTGCTGGTGGGGATGTAATATGGTTTGGTCACTTTGGGAAACACTCTGCCAGTTCCTCAAAAAGCTAAACATGGAGTTACCATATGGCCCAGCAATTTCACTTCTGGGTATATGCCCAAGAGAAACAAAAACAAACGTCCACTCAAAAACTTGTTCATGAATGTTTATAGCTGCATTATTAATAATAGCCAAAAAGTAGAAACAATTCAAATATCCATCAACGGATGAATGGGTAAACAAAATGTGGTGTATCCATATAACGGAACACTATTCAACCATAAAAAGAAGTGAATATACATGCTGCAACATGGGTGAATCCTGAAGACATTATGCTAAGTGAAAGAAGCCCATCACCAAGGACCACATGTTGTATGATTCCAGTTACATGAAATGCCCAGAAGAGGCAAATCTACAAACACAGAAAGTAGAGTAGTGGTTGCTTAGGGCTGGGGGTGGCTGGTGGATATGATATAGGAGGTGCTCAGTGTCCTGGGCTCAGGATTCAGGACATGCCTCTGGGTGACAAGCCATTCCCCAGGGACTCGGCCCCCCCCCTCCTTTGACTCTTCCCTAGAGCAAAGTCACTGTTGCCAGTTAGACCTATTTCAGCACCAACAAGGGGAAAAGGGGGCTACTTATGCCAACCCAGTGCCTGCGCATGCTCAGTAGAGAGGGGTTATGTAACTCTGGTGGTTCAATGACCTTCCACTAGGGGAGCTAGAGAGCACAGAATATTCCTGAATATGCCTGGTGCATGTGATAAAATCTGACCAATGAACATGCTCCAGGAAGAGACCAAT